ACACACACACACACACACACACACACACACACACACACACACATATACATACATATACATACATACATATACATACATATACACATATACATATACATATATACACATATATACATATACATATATACACATATACACATATATACACATATATACACACACACACACACACACACACACATATATAAAATGTTATACCAAAAAGAAAAAATAAAATAAAATAAAATAGGAAGCTGATTTTTTTTAAAAAAAGAAACAAGTCTTTGCTGAAAACCCAGGGTTGAATTTTTTTTTGCAGACTGATAGCTTCATGCACTAGCTTGGAAACCCAATTTAGACAAATCGAAGAATGGTTAAGGGGGGGGGGTGCATTCCTCTTTTTTTAAAAAAAAAAGGGGGGGGGAGGAAGACACTGTAATACATATATAAAACCACTCCATGCAGGGGGGGACAATCTGTTAGCGTCTTAAACAGCTTCTCCTCGTCTTCCACCGAGCCTTTTTTTTTTTTTTGCTTTTGCTCCTACTTTCCTTCTCCTAGTAGCAACCCCGGAGTCCAGGGCCCACGGAACCACAGCAGAGGCATCCTCAGAGGGTTACTTTTCGACTGAGATCACCTCGCTCCCGTTGATCCAGGACCTCAGATCTCCCCCACCACCAGCCAATCGCCAGGGCCCTCTGCATTCAGCGACTCTGCAGTTGCGATGCCTCCTTTGACCATGAGTCCTTCCAACGGCCCCCGTACAACCCCCCCCTCCCCGCCCGTTTTGCCGGGGCACCCTGGACCCCCTCATCGCCTCCTCCACCGTGCCCCCCCCCTGGACAGACCTAACCAGGCTTCGCAAATAACACCCCCCACCACAAACAGCAAGTTCAACAGAAGCAGCACACCTGCACCCAGTTCCCTTCCGATTTATTTTATTCATTTTTTTTTTGCAAAAGGATGAAGTCAAAAACGTTTTCTTCCCCTGCAGGCTCAACGGATTTGGGGGCGGAAGGGACCAGATTGGATTTCAGGAGTTTTCATCTCCAACCAAAGAGCCCCCCACCCCCCCTGCATTGCACCCAGATCCTGGGGAACGAGGGAGGCCAAGTAAGACCCATCCTAGTTTTGTAGGGAAATCAAAGACCCTGGAAATCCGACCTCCCCCCCAGCAGAAGAGGAGAGAGCTCTCCCCCCAACCCTGGATTTCTGCCTCCTCCCAACTACCCGGAGAACACCCCATCACCTCTTCCGTTACTCATCCTTTCCGAGCCCTTTACGGTGGTGGTGGTGGTGGTGGTACTTACTCTGACCGGAGGACGGCGAGCGCCTTGATGAAGGAGAACCCCACGAACGGCAACGCTTCTCCTCCTCCTCCTCCGGGGGAAGCTGCGGGGCTCAGCTGGCTGAGAGGCGAAGCGGCGATCCCGGCGTCCGTCTCCCAGGCATCAAAATTAGAGGTATCATCCTCAGTCTGGACGGCCGGCACGAAAGGAGGGTGAGCTGGGCAGGGGTTTCCAGGAGGCGCCCCGGAGGGGTGGGGGGAGGAAAGAAAGGGGAAAGGATGAGCTGCCGTTTGGGGAGGCGAGGGGCTCTCATGTCAGCATCTCCCAACTGGCAAAGGCACTGCGGCGGGCGGCCCCCGCTAACACCCGCGGGCTGAGCGACTGAGCTACCCTGCTCTCTCCAACTCCAGCTTGGCAGCAACAAGAAAATTAACCCTCCCCTTGCCAACATGGCCACCGTTTTTGGGCAGGGAAGAAGCTCCCCCTTTTGCAAGCTGGCCAACAAATCGGTGCCCCCCTCCCAAAAAAAGCCAGCCGGCCAGAAGGAAAAGAGGCCACTCTTAAGAACAAGCCAGGCTCGACTTTCTCCAGTGTTGTGTTGTTGTTGTTGTTTTTTAAATCTCTGGGATTAAAAAAAACAAACAAACCACATTTGGGCTGAGAGGATGCAGAAAAAGCAGCAAAAAAGCCAACCTTGGACAGCGCCAATGAGCATCTTGGGTTGGCATGCCAGGGGGGACCGGTGGCATCCCACCCCTAAGGTTAACCTTGAGAGGAGCAGCCTTGCAGCTGGCCGCTCGCTGCTCCACCGCTAAGGTCAGGAGGAACCTCCACCAAATCTATCTGCCTTCTGGCTTTGCTCAGCCCTCTTCCCCAAAGGGTTGGGTGGCTCCACTGCAGTCCCACCTTCCCTCCAAAAATGCCTCCCCCCCCCCCGCCTTCTCCGTTCCCAGCCGGGCACCTTTTGATTCTCTGCCGGGCGGCTTCGTGGGCGCCGGGCTTTAATTGCAAGGAATTGCAAGGAGGCGGAAAGGATGAAGGGAGAGAAGTTTGAGCCTCGTCGCCGGCCGCGGCTCGCAAGGGATGCGAGAGGGAGCTTCCCCTGATAGGGGGGGGGGGGGCTGCACACCTGGGTCTCTGCTTCTCCCAGCCTGCCTTTAGATCCCCCTGGAAGAAGTCGCCGGGATCGTGCAGCAAATCCACCGGCTCTCCTCTCCCGGCTTCTCCAAGTTGCTCCCTGCCAGAAGCTGGGTGGATGTGGCGTGTGCTGCTGCTGCCGCCGTTACCATGGCTCCATAGAGAGCTCTCGGAGCTGAACCGCTGCCGAGGCGGAGAGGGGAGGGCAGCGAAGGAGGCCAGCCAGCCGGCATGGCATTAGGAGCGCTCCTGCAGTGCAGGCTGCCTGCTCGCCGCCACTCTGTGCATGCTCCGAGGGTTAACCCTCCTCTGCCCAGGCGCCAGGCAGGGAAGCATCACAGGACAGGGACACGGAAGGATGAGTCACCCACCGGCTGGGGCTTGCCAGGATGCCAGAGCCTTTTGGAGAGGAGGGAGGTTGGGGTGGGGGGTTGTTGTTGTTTTTAACCCTTGGCGGCCCAGGCGCTTTGAAGATATTGCAGGGAGGGAAGGAAAGGAGGGAGGGAGGGAGGGAAAGAGGAAAGGAGAGAGAGGGGAGGGAAAGGAAGAAGGAAGGAACAGAGAAAGAGGGGAAGAAGGAAGGGAGAGAGAAAGAGGGGATGGAAAGGGGAAGAGAAAGGAGGGAGGGAAGGAAGGAAAGAAGGAACAGAGAGGAAGGGGAGGGAAGAGGAAGGAAAAGAGAAAGAGGGAAGGGGAAGAGAAGGGAAGAGATGGGAAGGGAAGAAGAAAGAGAGGAAAGGAAAAGATGAAAGGAGGAAGGGAAGGGAAGGGAAGGGAAGGGGAAGGAAGGAAGGAAGGAAGGAAGGAAGGAGAGGGAAGAAGGGGAGGGAAAGTAAGGGAAGGAAGGAAGGGAGAGAGGGGAAGGAGAGAAGGGGAAGGGAAGGAAACGAAAGGAAGGGAAGGGAGAACAGAAGGAAGGAGGAAAAGAAAGGAAACGAAAGAAGGGAAGGGAGAACAGAAGGAAGAAGGAAAAGAAAGGGAAGGGAAGGAAAAAGGAAAGGAAAGGAAAGGGAAGGGAAGGGAAGGGAAGGGAAGGGAAGGGAAAGGAAAGGAAAGGAAAGGAAAGGAAAGGAAAGGAAGTTGTGTATGTTACATAGTAATTCATTTATAGTTTATTCTCACAATTTGTAGTAGGGGGAGACAGGGAATGAAAATTACGGTTTTCGTGATTTACAGAGATTTACATCCACGAACTACATTTTCTCATTTTTATATACAGTAGGAAGAGGCTTTAGCAGAAACTTCGTTAACCAACAATGCTGGAAACACCCTCTCCTTCTGAATCGAAGGAACGCAACAAATAACCCCTACATAAAGTGATGCAGATCAAATGATCTGGAACAGGAAAATGCAAATTTATCCTTCCAGGCTTAAATCTTTCATTAAACAGTGGTCAGAGTGAACCCCACCTAAAGACAAAATCCAGCTTGAAATGGATCAGCGAAACGTGAAGTTTTGTTTTTAATCAATCGCCGTTTTGCCCCGACTTTGCGGAAGGTCGTCTTGATCAGGGCAAATTCCTTTTTCGTTGCCTCTCTTGAGGCAACGGCATTTAGAGACCTCAGTTTGAGACCCGAGCAGCATGTAATGGGCGAGCTCCTGTTTCTCGCTCCAACGCCTGCCCACCTAGCAGCTTGAAAGCATGCAACTGCGAGTAGATAAATAGGTTGTTGTGGCTTGTCGGCCGCTGGCCCCTCCCACAGCCAAATCAGAGGAGGAGGAGGAGGAAGTGTGGGAGTCAAGGGTCAGCATCCAGGCAACCTGGGAGCTCCGAGGGGGAAGAGGGAATGGAGCTGTCAGAAAGAGGCGGAGCCTGGGCCATCCGTCAGCCCTCCGATGGAGAGTCAACAGCCTCCAGGTCTGGAGGTGGCTGCTGAGGAAGAGGAGGAACAGCTGGGTCCAGTGCCTGACTGCAGATGCACAGAAGGCAGAGAGGAGAGGAGAGGAGAGCAGTGGAAATCTATGGGCCGGACCTTCGGATGGAAGAGCCACCGCTGCTAGCGAAGCCCCACCCTAGCTCTGGGAATAAAAGTCAGGGGGCGGAGACGAATAGATGTGGCAGGCAACTATTCATCTCCTTGCCGGACAGACTTGTTAGCCTGCGGTGAGAGAGAAACTTTTGTGCCGGGGCTGCCGGCACTCCTAATAAAGGAATCTTTGAGTTAACTTCAGGGGGTTTGGGAAACTGGGTCAGAACATAAGTACCACTCCTGTGGGAAGGTAACAGCACTCTGTGGGTCTTTGGTGTATAGCCACGCTGGACACATAACCACGGAAATTGTCTTCGGACAATGCTGGCTCCTTTGGCCAAAAAACATAGAGGAGCACCAATGCCCTAGAGTCACACTCGAGGGATAGACAAACCTTTACCTCCAAGCCAAAGGAGGTTTGTCCCAGCTTCAACACAAATGCTTTGAAACCATGTTCCTGGACCACCGGACCCCACAGATCAAGGGCTTGCATAACAGGCGTGGGCTGTCACTCACCGTTGTGGATGGCATCCCAGTCGACATTGGCAAAGAACGGGTGGCAGCACAGGCCTTTGTAGTCCAATCGTTCTTTCAGCCCACACAGTAAACTCTGCAGCAGGTCAAGACATTCGTGGCTAACCTTGACGTCCTCCGGGAATTTTAGGAACCTCTGCATTTGAAACGGAAGAAAAAATTTAAAAAATCTCACTCGATGGGTAAGAGAGGAAAAATTCTCAAAGCTTGCCAAATTCAAAGCAAATAAAAATAGTCCAAAAAAGCACCCTCTCTTTCTTCAGAATAGAATAGAATAGAATAGAATAGAATAGAATAGAATAGAATAGAATAGAATAGAATAGAATAGAATAGAAGAAAAGAGAAGGAAGGAAGAAAGGAGAATAGAATAGAATAAAATGGAGAAAAGAGAAGAGAAGGAAGAAAGGAGGAGAAAAGAAGAATAGAATAGAATAAATAGAATAGAATAGAATAGAATAGAATAGAATAGAATAGAAAGAATAGAATAGAGAAGAGAAGAGAAGAGAAGAGAAGAGAAGGAAGAAAGGAGAATAGAATAGAATAGAATGGAGAAGAGAGAAGAGAAGGAAGAAAGGAGAAAAGAATAGAATAGAATAGAATAGAATAGGAAAGTTTAGAAAAAAATTAGATTAGATTAGATTAGAACAACGGAGTTGGAACGGACCTTGGAGGTCTTGTAGTCCAACCCCCTGCCTAGGCAGGAAACCCTGATGCACAGATGCGCAGAAGGCAGAGGAGAGGAGAGCAGCGGAAATCTATGGGCTGGTCCTTGGGATGGAAGAGCCACCGCTGTTGGAGAAGCCCCACCCTAGCTCTGGGGATAAAAGGCAGAGGGCGGGGATGAATAGATATGACAGAAAACTATCCATCTCCTTGCCGGACAGATGGACTTGTTAGCCTGCAGTCAGAAACTTTTGTGCCGGGGCAGCTGGCTCTCCTAATAAAGGAATCTTTTGAGTTAACTTTAGAGGGTTTGTCCTGTTTGGAGAGCTGGGTCAGAACACTAAGAGACGCTCCGTTGTTACCTGAAAATTCATGATGTTGTTGGACGTTTTAGTTGAGGTCCCTTCAGCAAACGGCGATTTCCTGTAGATCATTTCATAAGCAACCACCCCTACAGACCACCAGTCACATTCTGGTCCATAGGAAGCTTTGCTGTGATTCAAAGCACTGAGGACTTCCGGGGCCATGTAGTCAGGAGGGCCAGGGGGCACCTTGGCATCCACCTTAGAACAGAAGGGATCCCTGATCATTTCATATTACTCCCGAGAGCCGGAGTGAACAGGCTAAGACCACATGCGTTTGTATATGCTCAGCATAATGTTCCATTAAACACATTACTCACCAGAGGAACTAAGGAGAAGTTAATATAAAGCCTTAATAAGGCCACACCTAGAGTCCTGCATTCAGTTTTGGTCACCACACTATAAAAAGATGTTGAGACTCTAGAAAGAGGGCAGAGAAGAGCAACCAGGATGATGAGGGGACTGGAGGCTAAAGCGTATGAAGAACGGTTGCAGGAACTGGGCCTGGCTAGTCTAGTGAAGAGAAGGACTAAGGGGAGGCAGGAGAGCAGCCTTCCAATATTTGAGGGGCTGCCACAGAGAGGAGGAAGGGATCAAGCTAATCTCCAAGGCACCTGAAGGCCAGAGAAGGAACAATGGAAGGAAACTGAACAAGGAGAGATTCAACTTAGAAATAAGGAGGAATTTTCTGACACTGAGAACAATCAATCCATGGAACAGAAGTTGCCCTCGGAAGTTGTGGGAGCTTCATCCCTGGAGACTTTCAAGAAGAGCCTGGACTGCCATTTGTCAGAAACGGTGTAGGGTTTCCCGCTTGGGCGGGGGGTTGGACTAGATGACCTACAAGGTCCCTTCCAACTCTTGTTAATCTGTTAATCCCCAGATCGTTCTAAATAAAGGTAATCCCCAATGTATTTTTACAATGACTGATGATGATGATGATCTATCACTGTTGTTGTGGGTACACCGAGAGCTTCTGCACCAGAGACAAATTCCTTGTGTGTCCAATCCCAATAAAGAATTGTGTGGCCTTGCGTGGCCAATAAAGAATTCTAAATTCTTATGATCATGAATGAGAGCAGAATATTAGTTGTTTCCACATTCCCACGAATTGGGCTACGACCTGGTAAGTGTGGGCTACGGCCCACAGATTGGGGGGGCCCTGACCTCCCCGGGAATTAACCATCGTGAAAGGTTATGCCTATAGCCTGGGTAAATAGTAAGGCTGTGCAATGCTTTGCATTCAGAGGGCAAATGTGCAGCGAACCAGATCTCGTCTTCCAATTCTGACGCACTGCAGAGCCTGAGGGAATTCTCTCTGCCGGCTGCAAGAAAAAAGAAGAAGAAGAAGCCATTCCTGGGTTGGCAGATCATGGTAAACTGGGGCTAAAGGTCTAGGAGACGTTGCTTGAAGGCCCTAAGAAGTTGCATCAGATTACATTTTTCAGGGTAAAAAAAAAGGATTGCACCTGTAAAGGGAGTTTGGTATTAACTAATCCACTTAGTTTCAATTAGCTTTAAATTAAATTGATATCTATCTATCTCTATCAATGTCTATCAATCTTTCTATATCTCTATCAATATCTATCTATCTCTATCTCTGTAAATATATGTGTAGATAAATATCTATATTTATCTATCTCTATCTATCAATCCCTACCTATCTCTATCAATCTCTATCAATCTCTTTCTATCTATATCTATCTCTGTAATATGTATATAAATATCTATCTTTATATTTATCTACCTATATCTATCTATCCCTTTCAATCTCTTTCTCTATCAATCTCTATCAACATCTATCTATCTATATCTATCTCTGTAAATATATATGTATATAAATATCTTTATATTTATCTATCTATATCTACCAATCCCTATCTCTCTATATCTCTATCAATCTCTATCATTATCTATCTATCTATATCTATCTCTGTAAATATATATGCATATAAATATCTTTATATTTATGTATGTATGTATGTATGTATGTATGTATGTATGTATGTATGTATGAATCTAGCTACCTAGCTAGCTTGCTTGCTTGCAAAGTTATCATTTTAAGAACCTCCCAAGTTTCTTTGGAACACAGTTTAAAAACTCATTTTCTCTTCCATCGTGTATTTGGTGTTAGTTAAAGTTTAAACAAAATCCCAGCTGGCTGAAGGAAATGCAAAGGAGGCCAAGTAGTTTTTTAATTATAATTTTGCATTGTTTAAAAAAAATTACTCGAGGTCAGTAGACAAGGAAAACTACGGCTTTTAGCCAGGACTCATTTAATGTGTAAAATTCTACCCATTCAATTTATTTAATCAAGAGGCTTTTCTTACCACAATAAGAGACAAGCAGTTCTAAGCATAATCAAACCCACCATTATTTATCGGCCATAACCTCAGCTTCTTCAATTACTCATGTAATGTTTTTCCTCCAAAATTAGAATGCACATGGTTAAACTCAAAAGACCAGGACATAGCTACCCATGATCGGTGTCATCCAGATGTTCCCTTCAGGAATGAGGATAATTGAAAAAAACAAATACCAAAAAAAAAAAAAAAATACTAATAAGAGAAAGGAAGAGTAAAGAAGGCTCATTTGTATTGCATTGAACCAAGAAATTCCCAACCTATATATGTCGGATGCTAAGTAGAGCCAGATATTTCTCTCTCTGGGCACAATGAGAATATATCTGCTGAAAATAAAACTCCGTATTGGCAACAGGAGGGCATCCGGCCAGTAAACACTCTGTTCCATTCAGTTGCCCAAAAGTGATAAAGGGGTCATTAAAAGAAGATATGTCGGATGCTACCCGACTATAACTTTAAGATGTGATGGAGTGCCATAGAGAAGGTGGATCCCCAGGAGGAAGGGGGTTGGCATCCTAAGACACAACTCAAATATCGGGTGTGAGAGAAAGAGGGTGAGGACAGTTCCTCCTCAAGAGTTCCCAGAATATATTGTAGATGCAGATGGCAGTCCTCCACCTGGCATGGTTTTGTCTGTTGGTGTGATGCAATAAAAAAACAAAACACCCCTCAGCTTGAACGAATCACCACGTGTCATTCTTGAGAGCCTGACACGTGGTGACTGAGGAGTCCTGGGAGTTGAAGTCCACACGTGGTGGCTGAAGAATTCTGGGAGCTGAAATCCACACACGATGTGATGGAATTTATTAAGGAGGTGGATCCGCAAGAGAGAAGATTCCAGAGGAGGAAGAGGCAACTCAGCCTGGATATTATGTGTGAGAAAGGGGGCGAAGAGCGTCCCTCCTCAATCTGGCAAGTTTTTTTATCTGTAAGAATGAAACCGTAAGGAGCTTGGAAGAATCACTATGTGTCATTCTTGGTTTTAGGCCTGACAAACGTTCTGTAATCCTTGACAATGCTGGTTGAGTAGCCAGGGGCTGTGGCTCAGCATCGTGTTAAGAGTCACTGCACAAACAATACAGGGTTTGACCATAGCCATGGCTTAATCAGAGTATCAGGCAGACGCTCATTTCAAGAATTTGGCTTTCAGGCCAATTTAATTTGGCCCCCATTGCTTTTCCGAGATCGTCACCCGTCATCTGTGTAACTCTGTGATACAATTGCAGTGGAGGGCACTATCCAAGATGAAATGTCGATCTTTAATTTCCCCATTTCAAAAATAAATAAATGTTTATTACCGTTTTATCCACCGTCATTTTGGCAGCAGACCCAAAATCCACCAACTTGATGTGTCCTGTTCTGTCAAGCAGGATATTCTCTGGCTTAACATCTCTATAAGGCATAAAGAGGGTGAAGCAGGAATCAATAAAACCCTCTTTCTGAAATTAAAATGGCTTGCCCCATCGCGCCGCTGAAAACCATTACAAGGATAAGTAATTAAAAGAAAAAAAAGAAAAAGAGGCTTTTCCGATCTTCAGAACAATTTTCTACTACATCTTATCAGAAGCAAGCTGGGTTCATACAACTGTAACCATATTAAAAACTTAGCTCCATGTGAAAACGAAGTCAGAAGTATTTATACACTCCACAGAATTGTTCAACCCCACCCAAAAGCTACAAATTGCAAAAGTGGCTCAAAAGGAACCCTATCATCCTCAGTAACTTTTTGCATTGTTCGTATGCCTTACTCAAACTTTATTCTACAATCTGGGTCTTAAAAAAATGAAGGAATGTGTTATTTTATTTATTTATTTTATATCCCGCCTTGATTATTTTTACAAATAACTCAAGGCGGTGAACGTATCTAATACTCCTTCTTCCTCCTGTTTTACCCATTACAACAACCCTGTGAGGTGGGTTGGGCTGAGAGAGAGGGACTGGTGGTCCAAATGTACTCAGTAAGCTTTCATGCCTAAGGTGGGACTAGAACTCACAGTCTCCTGGTGATTGGCCCAAAGTCACCAGCTGGCTTTCATGCCTAAGTCCTGGTGATTGGTCCATCTGGCTTTCATGCATAAGGCGGGACTGGAATTCACAGTCCCCTGGTAGATTAAAGTCACTCAACTGCTTTAATGCCTAAGACAAGACTATAACTCACAGTCTCCCACTTTCTAGCCTGGTGCCCTAACCCTTAGTCCAAACTGCCTCTCTTATGCTTGGTTAGGTATGTTGAACTGAAAAACTCACCGATGGACATAACCCATTTGATGGACGCTGTGAATGGCCAGAACTAATTCTGCTAGATAAAACTCTACAGTGCTTTCATCCAGTTGATCCTCGTATCTGTTTAAGAATGAGAGTAGATCGCCTCCCGGCTCGTAATCCATAACCTTCACGTCGTTTTGGAAGCAATCAGGCACCCATGCAGAGGGAAGTAAAATTTGTGAAATAATGGTATTAAAGTCGATGCAGTCCCTTGAAAATTAAAAAAGTAGTTTTTGCATTTCTATTACATGTTCGTATTTGCCTGCAGTTAAAGATCAATAAATATCTCTACTTTTTGAAGAACAGTTTGTAAACAAAGAGAAGATTTCACAAATGCCCCAGGAAGATTCTCCATCATCCAGGTCATGGTTCTCCCAAACGTGCTATTTGTTTTCAGGAGGCAACTGGACTTTATTTTTCTTGGAAGACGTTTTGCTTCTCATCCAAGGAGCTTCTTCAGCTAAGACTGGATGGTGGGGAAGGGAAGGATTTATATTCCTTGCAGACAGCTGGTCATTTGATTCCTTTTAGAGGGTCGTTGAGGCCACTTGGAATTTTCTCTGTCCTTAGGGTCACCTGAGTGATGCAAATGATTCCTACAGTCTGCAATTATTGGACACAGATAAACCTCCAAGTGGCCTCAACGACCCTCTAAAAGGATGCAAATGACCAGCTGTCTTTAAGGAGTATTCATCCTTTCATTCCCCATCATCCAGTCAGAGCTGAAGAAGCTTCTTGAATGAGAAGCAAAACTACTTCAAAGAAAAACCAGAAAGTCATTTAACTGCCTCGCTTTAGCAATAGAAATGTTAGGCTCAATTTATGGTTGTAAGTCAAGGACTAACTCTATATGATAATCCATAACCTTAACATACAGACATATGCGTGTGTATAAACAACACACACACGTACTGTTTGACTCAACACCAGTCAAAGCCAAACTAATTACTTTGTGGCTCGGCGTGTTCGAACACAAGCGGGTGCAATCGATTCGATATCCATCACAGTTGAGGAAAATGTGGGTCCATCACAATCGCAGTTCTAGCTTTTAACATGGATAAAAAATTGCGCCTCCGTAGGTGAAAAATTCCGCACTCCCAGTAAAAACGCAAAACCTAGAAGTTTTGATTCCGCCTGAAAGGATCCTTTGCAGGAATTTTTTTTTTCCCTCCAGAACCGGTAATTTCATCTATTGTGGTACTAACAAAGGGAACTGCATTGCATAGTTTTTATTTGCTCTTGTTCTTTGCGTCTCCCTCCCTGTTTAAGGTTGCAACCTCCGTAAGAAAGGGAGGAAAATGCACACAAATACACTGTTTTTATGCTTTTTGAGGCAGTCTTGGCTCTTAAGCGAGCAACAGCTGGACAAGTCCCTGCGGTTTCCTTGGCAACATTTTCGGAAATGGTTTTGCCCTTGCCTGTTTCCTCCCCTGCGGAGGGAGAAAGAGAGACTGGCCCAAAGTCGCCCGGCTGGCTTTGTGCTTTAAGGCAGGACTAGAACTCATAGTCGCCTGGTTTCCAGGCTTAACAACTATATCACCCTTCCTGGAGTAGGTAGATGGAGAAGATGATACATATACGCCTCTATTTTCCCTTCTAACGCACTTAAAAAGTTTTTTCCACTCATTACAAGTAGTCCTTGAGTGGTGAAGTGGAGTTCTCGCCTCACAGTTAGGAGGCTGTGAGTTCGATCCTCGGTAGACGCGGGTATTTCTCTCCCTGGGGACAATGAGAATATATCTGCTGGGGGGAAAAAAACTCCGTACTGGCGACAGGAACAGCATCTGGCCATTAAAACACTCAGCTCCATTCAGTTGCCCAGACTCCTCCCTGCAAGGGATTATGGGCTATGTCATGCCCCTGGTGGAGACTGACTCTGAGGGAGAGGAGGAACAGGGAGTGGAAGTGGGGCTCCAGAGGTGGTGGAGGAGGCTGGGGAAGGGCAGAGGCCAGCTGAGCAGTCAGAGGAGGACCCAGGCCTATCCCCTATCCATCCAAGGGCACGCAGGGAGGAGAGGATCTGGGTAAAACGTGGTCTCCTCGGGAGGAGAGGGCCTTGATCCTCTTCATAGGCTGCAGCTGTGACAACTGGATAAGAGTTTGGACCGGCGTGCCAGCAAACGCTGGGGACAAATTAGTGTTTTATTCCTAGAGGAGGTTTATCTTGGTTGGCGTTCTTCCAACGGACTATACCTGGTTATCTTCCTGAAGTTTGCAATTACTTATCCTGGTCTGTCGTGGAACTTTATTCAGTGCGGTTTGTTTTTGGTTTTTGCTTCATTATCTGCTCTTTGAATTTGAACCATGTTTCTTTCGTTTGGAATGTTATTTTGAAAATAGTTTTAATCTTCAACGGTGAACAATTAAACAGTGAAGCCAAGTTGAAGGCATTAAAGGACCTTTATTTACGTTTTGGTTTTTGTTATATTTTTTATAACACTCCGGGTCATCACAGGCTATTAAAAGATGACAATTGCAGGTAGTTCTTGACTTACAACAGTTCATTTAGTGACTGAAGTATCGACCACCCTAAAAACAGGGATTTATGACCGTTTTTCACACCGACAATTGCCGCGGCACCTTGTGCTTTTAAAGCTCTGTTTAACTCAATGCTATCATTGAGTAATATGCTGCACATATTACCAACAGGGGCCTGAAAGATTTTAAACAGCCCCTTGTTTTGAAAAACTAGCATGTAAAAAGATTTAAAGGTGGACATATTTGAAATATGCGGACTAACTACCCTTCACGCTCCGTTAAGTTCTCCCCTTCAGTTTAATATCTATCCTAATTCCCCTCTAAAAACTGCTCTGAAGGCAGCAGCTCAGCTCGGTCTAACATGCCAACTAACATGCCTTGACCCCACAAAGCCACAATGAGATTGTAAACTTACCAAGTAGAGATTCTTTTTATCCTGGAATGCATAGTGAAGACGTGGAATCCAAGGACTGGCATTCTGTGATAGAATATTTCTCTCTTCCTCAAAGAATACCTTTTTAAAAAGGAGGTTTTGTTTTTTTTTAGAACAAAACCCTTAAATTCATAAAGGGACGGTGGGGAAACATGGATATAACTTTTGCATTTTGGAGTTGCATAAAAAAAAACAATCGTGCAGATCACAAGCTAGAGATTGCTCAGGGCTCATAATCCATTTAAGGAGCTCGCAATTTCCCAACTTAATAAAAACAAAAGTTTCTATGTAAAGAGGTAAACATTTCAGAGTTGGCTACTAACTGAATTGAATTCTTTATTGTCATTGTACGTATATATACACAGTATACATACAATGAAATTCACACAACACCCAGAAACCAGACTTAACATGCACACGACAACCTCCAAACACCTCTCCACCCCACTAACACGGCCAAATATACACTTCTCGGTCCTAACGAAGGTTTTGTCGCTTTTGGAAGGGTTTGGAACATCAGGACACATAACACAAATATGGGGAGGTTTGGGCTGCAATGACACAACGCAACTGTCAGGATTCCGGCAGTTACCCCCAATTAAATCATGACTCTCGAGCCGAACTTTCAAAACTTCAAAAGGATTTATTGGGAGTTAACATGTCGGCACTGCCTGGATGTAGCCGACTCTGAGGCACATCATTCATTGTCACCCTTGACCCTGGTTTTTCCCTCCACCCCCTGGGTGTATCATAATTCATATTCTCCAATGGGACATCTCCATAGCCAAGAGTCATCAGTCATGCTCTCCAGTTAGAATTTTTTGTGGCAGAAACTTCAGTCACCTAGTTACTATCTTTGAAAACATTTGTGGAATGCACTTTCGGTTTGCAAGTTGCTGCACTGCTCCCCCCTCCTCTCTTTCTGTCGGCAACTCTAAAAAGACCGTAGAAATATTTCATGAGTTGACAGCAACTTTTGCCGGACTGTTGCAGCTGATTCTCCCTTCTGTCCTGGAAGGACAGAACAGAACATTTCGTATCAAGCCTGTCTGTATTTCTGACAGGTCCCCCCGGGGAGACGCCAAGGACTGGAATTGCAAATTTCCTGCAACTGCTATTCAACCTCCGTGGTTAGAGAATTCTCCCACTGAACAGGGGCGTACCTGCTCTTTGGCCAACAGGGCCTCCTTGCTCATCACCTTCATGGCGTAAATGTCACCAGTTGCCTTTTCTTTCACCACCTGGACTTCGGCAAAACGGCCGCATCCTACCAGATTCCGGATTTCAAAGTCTTTCGGGCTGGGTTGAAGTTCCCGGAACGACGTGATTGAATCTGAATCTGCGGAAGATCGGGAAGGCAGGAGAATTGGGGAGGAAAGGAGCAAGGAAAGGCAGTTTTAAGGTGTGGGTCAACTCATAAAATATGTCTATGGCCGTTTTAGAGTTGCCAACAGAAAGGGAAGGAGGAAAGGGGTTTGAAAGAGCAGTGCGGCAGCTTGGAAATCGAAAGCGCATTCCATAAATTCCAGTCTCCTGGAATCGTGTGATCCCCTTTTGCAACCTTCTGACCAGGGAAGTCCAGGGGGGGGGGGCAGCCAGATTTGCTTAACTGTGTCGCTAACTTAACCAGCTGCAGCAATCCGCTTTACTACTATAGCAGGGAAGGTCACAAAATGGGGTGACGTCACTTCAGAACCGTCTTGCTTAGTGACAGAAATTTGGGGCTCTTGTGGTGGTGGCAAGTCAAGGATTGCCTGTATGGGCCAGGCCAAACCACGCTGTCAGGATTCCAGCAATCGCTCTAATGAAATCCTGATTCTCGAGCCAAACTTCAAAAAACTTCAAAGGCTTCATTAGAGGCGACATACTGGCCCTGCCTTGTAAGAAGCCAACTCTGGCCTACGTCATTTACAGTCCCCTATGACCCCGTTTCCCCCCTTCCCCCGGGTAGTGTCATAAATCATATTCTCCAATTGAGCACCTTCACAGCCTGGGTATCATCCATCGCGTTCTCCAATTAAATATCTTAGTGGGCAAAAGCTCTGGTAGTTTAGCTACAATCTTTTAAAGAGAAGAGTCAGAATGTACTTTCGCTTCCAAACTGCTGCACTGCTCTTCCAGATTTCCTTCCTCCCCCCCCCCTTTTTTTTAATGGCAACTACTAAAACAGGCATAGGAATGTTTCATGAGTTGACACACACACACGAGTAGATGGTTATTAGGCTGGCTTGGAAAGCAAAGCCCAGTAGAATTTCATGCGGAAAAATTGCGTTTTGAAGCTCTAGGTCACGCGTGTTGGCAACCGGTGGCTCTGGAGCCGTATGCGGCTCTTTGGGCCCTCTTCTGTGGCTCCGTTGGCTGGCTCTGCCTCCTCGCCCTCCCCTCCCAGTCACTCCTCACCTGGCCTGAGAAGGTGAGTGAGAGAGAGAGAGAGAGAGAGAGAGAGACCCATTTCCCACAGAAAACACCGGGACCCACAAAACCTGGGTAGGCATGGCCGTGTGTGTGTGTGTGTCATGAGACTGGGTGGGAGCAACGCAGAGTAGGCCACGCCCACCTAGGTTTTGTGGCTCCCGGTGTTTTCTTTTCCGTGGGAAATGGGTCCCCAATGGCTCTCTGAGTGTTTAAGGTTGCCAGCCCCTGGTTCTAGGAGGAAGTGAACAAGGCATACGCTTTTTAAAGAAGTCGCCTGCGTGTTTGGCTTTCCTCAGCAGAGAACGGCTGCCTTCCTCGTACAGCAGCAGAAGGGAGTCCAGAATGCCTTCTCTTGAGAACGGAGACATCTGCTGTTGTGCCAGAAATGGGAACTTCCCCTGAAAACAAAGGCGGCTCTTAGTGAAACAAGAGCAGTAAGTGTCGTATTTATATACAATCCGTAAACCGTCCTGTTTTAGGAATGTGTTATACAGCAGTGATCCCCAACCTTTTTTATGGCGCGGCCCGGTACCGGCATCAGCTGGGCGCCGCCATCTTTTTTTGATGAAAAAGTGCTTCCGGTGAGCTTTCTACCCGGAAAAGCTCAGCGGAAGCACTTTTTCATCAAAAAAAAGATGGCGGCGCCCAGCAAACCAGCGGCCTGGTAGGACTTGTTCCACGGACCGGTACCGGTCCGCGGACCGGTGGTTGGGGACCCCTGTTATACAGTACCCCGGGCCATTGGAGGGGTACAACATGACCCATTTCTCCTTCACATTTACAGTTTAGTTTAGTTTACTTTATTGTCACTGCACCTCGTACAACGAAATTAATGACTATCTTCAGTGTACATTGTGGCTATGAAAATAAATACAAACACCCACCCTTTACATTCTATACATTGAATTGAAAACCGCATTAATATTGCACTATACAGTAGAATGCAATAGAGCTACTGCCCTGGGATGGAAGCTGCTTTTCAGCCTATTTGTCCTTGTTTTTATTATTATCCTGAACTGTCTGCCAGATGTTAACAGTTCAAAAAAAAGGGGGGGGGGTTGCCCAGGATGAGATGGATCTTGGAGAATGTTTTGAACTTTCTGAAGGCAGCGGGAGCTATAAAGCTCTTCCAAAGAGGGGAGAGGGCAACCCAGGATCCTCTGGGCAATGATGTTCACCCTCTGGAGTGCTTTGCTATCTGCCACGGTGCAATTGGCAAACCAGACACAGGTGCAGTAAGTTAAGATACTCTCTCTGGTGCAGCGGTAGAAGGTCCCCAGCAGTTTTTCATTCAGTTGTTGTTTCCTGAGAAGTATAATCTCAGGTAGTATAATCTCTGCTGGGCCCTTTTGACCAGGGCTGCAATGTGAGCACCCCAGGTCAGGTCCTCTTTTAGGGTAACACCAGAAAACTGGCCACTTGCTCCACTTGGTCTCCATCGATAAGCAAGGGCTGGATGTCTGATCTGTTCCTTCTATAGTTCCCTATACGCTCCTTGGTCTTATTGGTGTTGAGGACCAAGTCATTGTCTCCACACCACGAAAGCAACCGGTCCACCTCATCTCGGTAGGCAGACTCATCCCCCCTGGAAGGGTTTGGGGTCTACTGGTGGGAAAGAGAGGGGAGAGGGAAGGGAACAAGGGATGAACTGATGCCCAGTCTGCAATTCCAATATGGGCATCAGACGTCCAGGTGCCACTAGGTAAGGGCAGGTTTTGTGCTGCGAGGTCACCTCGAGCGTCTTGTCGCTTTAACGCCTTCTCGGTTAGGTGGCTTGCTTGCTGAACTACAACTCCCATCCTCCTTTCCACGGGGCCGGGGCAAACTGGAGTGCAACACCTGGTGGAATTAGCTTCTCTGACTGCTCCCAGTGTTTTCCCAACCTTGGCAAATGTAAGGATGGGGTGGCTGGGGAACTGTGGGAGTTGAAGTCCACGTATCTTAAAAGTTGCCAAGGTTGGGAACACAGCATTACGTCAAATTAACTTCTGTTTTTAGAGCAATGATTTGGGGGGGGGGGGGGGGGGGAACTGTCCTGTAAGCAAGAGAATCAAATGAAGAATAAGCGGTATCACTCCCTCCTGTGCAATTTCTAGTAAACCAGCTAAAACCATATTTTGTTCATTCATAATAGACATATTGGAAACCAAATAGTTGGTTTTTTTTAAGCAGGCTTAGTTTTTATCAGCCCCAGAGGGCCTAGAACAGAGCCAACAAGTTAAAACAATAATTATGTTCAAGCTAGAGGTCGGGAAAGATGTTTCCCGACTGTGTTAACTTTTCAGCCAACGGAACAGCCTGCCACATGAAGTGGTGAGTTGGGCTCAAACAGAACAGTTTGAATAGGAAACGAATTCACAAGCCAAGTTACCTGAAGAAGCAGGTTAAGTCGAGAAGCACGGCTGGCAATAGAGTCCATTGTGCCCAGTTCTGCTGGATGGGGTGTTGCATATTTAAATTTTAGCATCGCTAGCAGCAAAAAAAAACCCAGCCCCACTGAGGTAGAACCTGTAGTACAAAATCTCTATTAGAAAAATTAAACAAAAAAAAGAGAGGAAAATATAAGATCTTTGGCTCTTTTTAGTTCTGAAAATCGTATTATATTCCGCCATTAATCATTTGAAAAGCAGTTTGGTCTAGTAGTTAGGCACCAAGGTAGAGACCAGGTGAATTCCACCTTAAGCATGGAAGTGGCTAAGTGACTTTGAGCCAGTCATTCTCAGGCACCCCACAGGCTGGTTGTTGTTATTGTATGTGTTTGCCTTGGGTTATTTATAAAAATAAACAATAAAGGCAGATTAAAAAAAGAAAGAAGCTAAAAAGCAACTTTGCTGGCGGAGACTGAAAATAAAAGAGTTCATAAACAATATTGTTTGATTAATAGGCAAGAACTCCAAGGAATCTTATTATTGAATATATCAGCTTATAATCACTTAGGCCCATAAGGCAACCAGCAACCCAATGGTAACGCACAACCGTTTAAAGACCCCCCCAAGGAAAAATGACAACTAATTTTCTTCCCAATCCAAAGAGCTCAGATGAAGAAAGACGCCGCTCGGTTCTTCAGGATGAGGGTGTCAGGGATGCATGCAATTCTTGCTTCCACGGTTTGACAATCAGAAGGGGACATAAAAGTTATTAAACGCTGGCTTTAAACCACAAATGGGTTTCCTGGCCCCCATTCTCTTTTCCCTCTGGTCGGACAGATCAGCCATTAGCAAGATGTCAGAGGGAGGGAAGGGAATGATTATTTGGAGGCAGCTGTTAGCAACGCTGGGAAAGTCACTGTGATGAGAATCAACCTTCCCAGTTTTCTCCCTGCTGGGATGAAGATAGTGCCTTTCTTTGCCCAAGAGAGATGGGGAAGTTATGGGCTTCCTGCCCCATCCAAAAATAAATTAGAATAGAACAGAACAGAATAGAATATTGGAATGAAGAATGGAATGGAATGGAATGAAGGAAAGAAGGAGAATGGAGTGGAATGGAATAAAGAATAATAGAAA